TGCAAATGAGTGTGGGTAAACAATATAAGCTTCCACAAAATGAGGAAATCTCCACATTGTCCTTTGTGGACTGAAGGAGGAAGAGCACTTTGGTTCCTGGTCAATCAGTGTGGATTTCCTAACACACAGGGCTTCCTTGTGCTTGACACCAGCTGTGTGGTGCAGCCAGACTGATGTTGCACAGTGCACGACCTGGATAGCGCCACAATATAGCGCATATATGCTGTTAGGGCCAGAAAAAAACTTCCATGTTGCTATGCAGTGCAAAGACTGTGAATATTTTTTAGTAAGAGACTTCTCAGCACTACTACCAAGGATGCTGGGAAGAACGAGGCTGACAAAGGCAGGTGCCGACCGAGGAGCTTCTTGAGGGAGTCAAAATTCTTACACGTGTGTAAGACTGCCAGACTGTATGCCATTTCATCCAGTGTAGATCAGAGCACATTTGTCCACACAGGTCACAGCTTCCAAAACCTCTCCTGATTTTAGGTCTGGAATAGTCAAATTTTTACAAAATACAGACAGTAGCTACTTTAACCAGCTTCTGCCCGATAACTTAGTGGCCAGAGGGCTCATCCGCAACGTGGCACACACATACTACACTCACACAATTCACCAGATTATAGCAGATTATAGGCTATCTTCAAGAAGGTAGGGGCAGAGCACTCTGTTTTGCTTTTGGTTTGGTTTGGTTTGGTTTGGTTTGGTTTGGTTTGGTTTGGTTTGGTTTGGTTTGGTTTGAAGGGACTTCTGGAGGTTTTCTAGTCAGTCCTATGTCCCACTTCAAGTAGGCCTATCACCAAGACCAACATGGCTATTACAGCTCTTCCATCAAAGGAATGAATCCTTGGCCAACGTGGCATATTACATGGTATCATACATGACCCCTCGCATAACAGTAATTTAGTTTCTTACCTGAAAGTAGGGCAAATTCCAGTTCTTGCTGCAGAAAAATACACATTACCTGGGGTGGGGATCAAAACTGGAGCCTTCATCTTCCTGCCAGTTAATTACTCTTTCACCATATTAAAGCTCCCTGTAGCCTAAAGAGTATTTAAATCTGTCCAAAGCAGAGCATTTTTGGCCAAAGGAATTGAGACAAGCCTCTTCCAGAACACCACTGATTGCTGAGTGCAATGCTCCTGTGGGAAACAAGATGCAAATTCCCCATAGAAAAAGGAATTGACTCTGTGTCCTTCAAGCTTTGAACAATAAGCTACTGGTTAGACAAGTGAGATGCTAGCAGCACTAGCACAACCACTGTGTCTTAAGTGGGTTAGCATCTGGCGGTTTTTGTGTGTGAAGTGTGATTAAGTGAGTATGTTCCAAGAGATGAAACTCATTTCATCAAAACTTATACCAGACCCATTTGAGTCAGTAGAAAGAAATGGACGTTGTAAGCCATGATTCAGCTGACACCCAATGTTTGCAGAGGAAGGCCAATCAAAATGTCTCAGGATTAAATCAGAATAATGTGGCTAATTTAATGCACTTAATTTTCCATATTATGAGGCAGTTAGGGAGGACTGCTCAGATGCTCTTTGATTCTAGCCCCGTGTGTGGAAGTGTAATCTGAATTTTGTATATCCTATGATAGCTCAAATTTGATAGCAATTAACTCTTCCTCTCTCTGCTTTTTCATAAACTTCATAAAGAAAACCTTGTGGAATTACAATAAAAAGTACTAAATAAATTAAATGAATACTCTTTTTATATGTCCTTACTTTATTTTGTCTTTCTTCCCAGATGTCTGTTGCCCTATACAGGGAAAATGGGAAAAAAGCTCTCACAACAGTGTTTTCTTAGTCTTAGATCAATGACGAAATGCAAATGCAGAAAATTGCTATATTGTCACATTCATTTTTAAACATCTCTACACTAAAGTATGACCGTTATTCTGATTATCTGCTAACATGCTTTTACCCTTTTTCTTACCCGGTGGTGTGGGAATCTTTTAGTATTGGTTTCCAGATGGTAAAATTCTTTGAGGGAAAGGTTTTCTCTTTCTTTAGTGTATACTGTATAGAAAAGAATGGAATCTGTCGTCATTACCTTTATGTAACTGACAGCATTTAAATAAAGCACTGCAAAGTATCTATTCATAACCGAGCATACTGGCATAACTGATGGTATGTTGTCTCTTAATGGTAGCAAGTTTTGTTTGTTTCCCTGTTCTCCTCATATTAGGTCTAACTTTTTATATTGCTTTTGTAGAACGAGGTTTTCATTGCCATCAGATGCTGAGGTGTTACCTTTTTTTCTGATGGTAATGCTTTATTTCTGAACAGTAACAAAGAAGCCATTGCATAACTCCCTGAATATCCTAAATCAGATGATTTGTTTAGAATTGCAGATTATGATCAAAGGGGCTACTTGAGCCATATCTCTGTCATCAGAATTACATACAAAATAGAGCCACCACAAACACAAAATAATCTATTTTGAAAAGAGCATGATGCTGAGTAATGAAGAATCATGATGTCAAAATTTTTATTTTTAATTGAATATAGCACTGTAACACAGAAGAGTGAAGGCTCAAATGAGAAGACACTGACGTTCCTGCTCATGATTTTCACACACTCTTCTCAAGATGGTACATCTCTTGTCCCACATCAGCTAAACAAAATCGCAAACTACAACAGTTGAGACAGCCTATTTCATACATATTTTCAGACACTTCCAGCTCTCGGGTAAATTGAGGTGCATTAAAATATAAAGATGTCTGATGAGTTCTGACAGACTGTAGTTCTCCAAACGAAAAGGTATTCTTTCATGTTTGCTCAAATTGTTGTTGATACTGTAGGCATCCAGTAAGAGCAACGCCTGCATGTTTGACAGTAATGTAATCCATTTACTTTTAACAACTGATTGAAGCCTGTGTTTTTGGAGTTTGTTCTCAGTTGACCACTGACTTGTCTGTAATTATTCAGCATGTGGACTGGTTAAATACTGAGAATTCATGACCTTTAATGCGATTAAACACCTGCACTGCTTTTATGTTTAATTATTAATAAAAGCAGCTAATTATTTTGTATGACCTTTTGCCACGAACATATCCTTTGACTGTTCTTGAGATCAAAGGGCATCTTCAGAAACAGAGATCAAAAGAATTTATCTGCAACTAGTAGAATCAGCTTCCTTCATGATCTACAAACTGCTTATTTCAAATCAAAGCTTGAGTTTACTGCTGGTTCGCTTGAGATTACATACAGTGCTAATCATCCCACGTTTGGATATCAAAATGGGAATTGTATCTTATTTTTTATTTATTGGATATAACATTAATTTGCACACATGCACGAATGCATGTGCACACACCCCCATTGTTCATTTATGAAAAAGCAATGTTAGATTATGTAATCACTGGGAATATTCAGCCCATAAAGTTAATACAAGTCCTATACATTATTTTTGGAAAGCATTCTTCAATAGAACAAGATCACACATCTCAGTGACTCTGCGGTTGATTGTGTCCAGATTTTGCTGCTTTCGGATGAATAAAAAAGTCCTTAGAGATGCTCTGTTAAAGGTGTGGGGGGGAATTTTTCCACCTTGAATATATTGGGATGCTTCAATTTATTTTAAAGGCAAACCTAAAAACTGTAAAAAGGTGTACTTTGGTTGGTATTCTGAAAGTTGCATACAATAAGTTTATAAGTTTAAGACACATTCCTTTTAACTACTACTAGCTCCAAATAAAAAAAAAAGGGGGGGGGGTTGCATCTAAAAATAAATTTATGCAGCTCTTAGATGTTTAAGTACAAAATAATCAAGCGAAAAACATCCCTGCAGTCAGCTGTTTAATGGTAGAAGGTCTCAGGATCGTTAGGTGCCTCCCAGTAAGCATACAATTGTGAGTAGGACTGGTACTCTCACAAAAAGCAGAGTTTCTGAGTAATAATGTTGCCTCTGCCTAATTCTGCTTTTTAGATTCAGCTCTCCGTATATAAACCCCAGGTCTGCAGGTAAAAGCACTGATGTCTCTGAATCTTTTATTTCGGTCACATTTGAAAAGATTATGTGAAAATGTGGACATTCTGATCTACATAATGACTGTCCACTTTGCAAAGCATCTGCATCACTTACATGCAGCAAAGATGCACAGAAAATGATAAACAAAGTGTAGCTGCTGATATGTCACTACAATAAAAGGCTGGAGAATATTTTATTGTTTTTTGCTTTGGGTTTCACTGAGAAATAAGTAGTGCTGTCAGAATGAAAATATTCTCTAAATTATTCAGTCTAATTTATTTTTATCATTTGAAGTCTAAAATGAAAGTTCCGATGTGTTAACAGTTTTCTGTAGTTGGGATGGTAAATTTATTTTTCAAATTAAAAAAATTAAGTGCGTTAGCTCAGAAGTCTACCACTATGTATATTGATAAAGTTAGGTTTTTTAATAAATTAATTTAATGTGTCAAAAATAAAGCTGTTTAGATTATCCAAGAACAAAAAATGGGGATGAGAATTTTAAAAGTATATATTGTTTGTCACATCTGAATACTTGTGTTTAGAAAGATCAGTCCCCCTCTACTTAAGAACTTGATGTATTATGATAGGCCTAACTGTACCTCATGCATCTGACTTCATTACTAGTTTCTTATCTCTCCTCCTATCCTCCCTCCTCACTCTTCTCAACTGGAGACTCCGTTTCTGGGCAAGAAGTCTTAACACAGGCTTTTCAGCAGTTTGTGTAAAGAATATAACTTTACATACAAAAATAACTTCTTAAGTTGACTGGTGAGCTTTGATCACAGCGTTTCAGCTAAAAGCCAGCTTCTGTTTCCAACATACTGTTAAAGAAATACTGCTCTTAAGTTTTGTGATCTCATTCACTCTTGGGATATCGGAACAGAAGAAACGCTTAAAGAGACCTAAATTAATCAACAAAATAGTTTGAGAGACCTTCATGCAATTTATAGCAGTAAAAATGCCACGGATTTGAGACCATACATAGATCAGTGTAAATGTGTGTGGGGTCCCTTCAGGTGACTGAGGCGATGGCGAGCTCCATCACCTCCACCCTCAGCAGGCTGAGCGTGAAAACCAAGCGTGTGCCTGGGCCCCCCCCGGGGCTGGGCCCGCACCCCTCCGCAGGGCCCCGCTTGCCCAGCGCCTGCCCACAGCTCCGTTCCGCTCCCTCTCCGGAGGCAGCACAAGGGGACTTCAGCTGTCTCCTACGGGGCTCCCCTGCTTCCCCCTTCCTTCAGCTTCCCCACTATGACCATCTTTGCCTTTGCAGCAAGGTGGCCTTCATCCTTCCCTTTCATCCCTCAACTCATCCCAGCCCCGTGAGCGGGAGGAAAGGCCCACGGCATGAGCCAGCAGGCTCCGGCAACACCCGTAGGAAACACCCGAGTTTGGCCGCGACAAACGCGAGTGGGACGAGGAGGGCCTGTACCGAAGGGCTCCCACCAAGGTGCCTCGGGGCTGGGCCTAGCGGTGGGCCCAGCGGGGGCTGTGAGCTCCCGTCCCGCCCCGCCGGGCGCG